CCAAATTTTTAAATCAAAATTCCGATATTGTACCACAAAGATATAGAGAAATAATGTATCGATTATCACAAACTGAACGAGCAAAATACCACGAAATTCTAAAAATTTCAGAAAAAAAGTTTGTTACTTATAAAGAAGTTGTGGATCTTGTTGAATCACTTGAAAAGTTTGTCAATACCCCAATTTATTTAGAAAACTACTTTATTGCTCTAAGTGAAGGTACTGACATTTCTTTGTTATTAGATGAAAAAGTTAAAGATTTTGAAGTAGTTAAAAAGAATACTCCTCGTTTTGATGTATTAAAAAAAGTTTATGGAGTCGATTTGATGTTTATAAACAACCTTAAAACACTTGAATTATTTAAAGGTAATTTACATCTTAAGTCTTTTAAGAAAACAGTGAAACGGAATATTATCGACTTAAATATTAGACTTTCCACAACACCAACAGCCACAAGAACTCAACTAATAGTTGATTCAAGACTTCTTGTTTCCAAACTAAAAAAGAGGTAATGACATTTATTTAAATGGTGTAATTAAAGTATATAATATAACAATTTTCAGACACATAACATGTTTCTAATGATTCATGTTTTTGTGACTAGTACTTTATCAGACACTAAAAAAATAACAATTTTTACAATCAAAACACTTTTTAAAGTAAACAATTAATCAATTAACAACAAGATGTTTAATTTAATAATTGTTATTTACACATACATTTTAATCGTTTTTAAATAACAAACAAGTCGAAATACAATCTATTTAACATCTAACAATAAAGTTCAAGTTAATTAAAATGTTTATGTTAAGTTTATAATTAAAACCAAACAACTCAATACAACTAAATTACTTCTTTGCTTTCTTCTTCTCCTTCTTCTCGTGGGTGGTTTCTTCGTGCTCAGTGTGCATAATTGAGGCAATTGAATATGATTTAGTTGGTGCTGGGTCATCATCAGTTTGGAATCTCTTTCCACCTTCCTTTGCTCCATTTCTCTTTCTTGGTTTTGTTGCCATCACTTTGACTTTGATTATTCATTTTGAAAACGCTTTTTATTCATTTTTCATTCTTGGGCGTATTTTTGGGATGGTTTACTTGTCGTCTTTTATTACGGCTTTTATCCCGAAAATATCAGAGAGTAACGCTTCAAGTTTTATTCATCTTTGTTGGTCTCATTTGTGTGTGACACGAATCCCAACGTGTCGCCATTTGGTAACTATTAATACTTATCAAATTGATAATCTTAGTCAATCATTCTTCTATATGTCAATAATTTCATTTAAAATTATTTTTATAACAATTGAAATATGAAGTAAAATAAATTCATAACACACCCTCAACATTTAATTTTTGTTTGGTAAAATAATAATTAAGTAATTAAAAATATACCATTTCAAATTCGAAGAGTAAGTTAGACAAAACTCAAACTTTTTAAGATTGTTTTAACAAAGTAATTTATTAATTTTAATAAATTAAAATTGACTAAATTTATATAGTTTATTATTATTTATTTTTAAATTAAAATAGTATGAAACGAATTTATTTAGGGTTTTTGTATTATTAGTAATAAAGATATTAACTATTATAATAAAATCAATAAATTAACAATAAACTATCGGTATAAACAATAAATTAAGTTACTTTGTTATAAATATAAACACTAAGAACATTATTAAAAAAACCGAATTGGATGAATAAAATAAATCGAAATGAAGTTTTATAGTTATTTATAAATATACAATCACATTTTTGTGTCGTATTAATACAACAGAGCAACTTCCCGTATTATGTATATACATTTTATGTCATATTTAACAGGATTCAAAATAACATGGATTAATGAGACAAATTCTTTACATCAATATAACTTCATAAAAATTACAAAATAGAACCAATCCAGCTATTTAAGCATCATTTTTATCTTGTTATTCATCATTTGGTGAATTTCAATGTACAAAACGTGTTTGAGTATGGCGCTTGTGTTTTGCAACTTTCGAAATATGACATTTAACTAACGTGTTTTATTCTATTCGTGACATTTTTGAATTTTAAAAATAAAGAATATATTGACAGCCGTATATTAAATGTGAAAAACAACCTTGCAAATAAAATATGTCAAATTTGTATGTGTAAACATGTTAATCACATTAATTGACATTAATTGACATTAATTGACATTTATTGACATTTATGTAATTAATCTGTTTATGTATATTTTATTTATATAAACACTAACATTATTGTTTATTATGAAGTGATGTAATTTTTATTTGAATATTATATTAATTATTAATTAACATCATTTTACTTTTGTTTATTAAACATTGTTATCATTAGTATATCGAAAATAAAAGACATAATTAATAAAATAAATATTCCTTTCATTATAACTGAATTTAGTCATGCCACTCTAATTAAAGTAATTATTTTAGAATAATTTTATTCGATTAAATTTAAGCATTCTTTAACCCTAAGTTTATGAGTTTTTAATTCTTAATAATTAGTTTATTAATCGTGTTAATATTTTCATTTAAAATAGTGGTTCTTAAATCACCTATGTTTCATTTAAATGGCTGAGCATATATTTAATTAACTTAAAGTGTTTTGGTCACTTTAAAATGCCAAACTTTTCACTCCCCTTACTATAATAATAATCGAAAATGTATCAAATTTCAATGTAATGTTACGTGTATTATAAATAATTTGTTGATTTGACAAGATGACATACAATATTTATTTACTATTATTTTAAATGTTTTTGCATATAAAAAAACTATTAAATTCAATTCTAACTTTTCCATTGTTTAATTGATCAAATATTAAACCATTTGACACCCTTT